TTTTAGTTTTTTCAAGGTCGCTACGTAAAAATTTTTTCAGGTCGAAAAAAAGACCATCGAAAAAGGATTCGAATAAGCCCAACATGCAACACTTAAAAAAAAAAAAAAAGCGAAATAGGTTGTTCTTTATATTTATTGTTATATGACTACCACCATCACAACTAAATATTCTAAGACATTAAAAAAAAAATTTCAAGTTAACCAAAAATCGCTTTTTGTTGAATTTTAGATGAAAACAACAAAAAATCATTAAAAAACGAAAATCAAAAACCTATGAACAATCATCAAAAATCACTGCTGTGGTGCTGGATCATGATGAGTCATATCGTGCTGCTGGACAAATAATTTAAAACATATTAAATAAGTTATTGTTGTATTAAATCGTAGTACTGATGCTGTTAAATAAATATGTTAAAGGACATTAAATAAAACTATTAATAGTAACTAATTGTTTTATTGAATCATACATTTGTTTGGGTATTGTATTTACTAAAATAACTGAAACAAATTAATAGTAAATAAAGTAACAGACAAAATACGATTGCAAAAATAATTGCTCCTACTGAAGTAAATATCCATATCCATGGTTGTGCCAAACAATATTCTGTAACATTTGCACCGGTAGAATTCTTGTATCCACTATAATCGTTAATGATGGTGTAATTCGGTGACTTGCATCGAGTGTTGTCTTTGAAGACTAATTCTAGCCGATATTGCAGTTGGTTCGAGGAAGATACATTTTTTGAATAAAACATACGTAGTTGTTCATGCCCATTTTTAATTTCTAACATTTTTCTAACAGTACATTCTTTACTACTATCAATAGTTTGTAGATAGACATCAGTAACATTGCTATCAGTCAATAAATAAAAATCTTTCTGAATTAGAATGGTTGATAGAACAAGTGTGCAGTTTAAGCCGAACATTGTTTGGATGAAATGAATAGTTTGTTGTTGCGGAATTCTATATATAGCAACAACCATCACCACCACCATTAACGAGCAGCCAGGTCCCAACATCCCACTATTACAGTCAATATCGTGAATATGACAAAAAATGAAGCAAACCATACACGATCGTTTCTTAAACAAAAATCAATGACTTCCTTTGAACTGCGACTGCTCTTAGTATTTTCTATTATTAACCAATTGGAAAATTGTTGATTTTCTTCTTCCGTTTTTATCTTGTACGTCAAATGATTCTGCATTGTTATATTTTTCGCATAGAAGAGATGATAACTGGTTTCGATTAGATTGATCGGTGTCATTTTTTCCCAAAATTCTTTTTCGTACGTCTGAATATACAGCAGACTTATATTTGAAGTGGTGTAGATATACAAGTTGTTTTCAACAAGCACACTTAATAGTATTAACACATTGCTAGGCAGAAACATCTTAGACTTATCTTCTTGTACACAGACACAAATACTTAGTTGTGGTCATTGATATTTGTAGGGAAGAAGTTTTTAGAGGTGGTAAATGATGGTGGTGGGGTGATAGCGATAGAAATAACAAATTATTGTTTCCTTATATATTTGTTAAATGTCGCATGGTAGGCGTTTAAGGCTGTTCTATCTAAAAACAGGGACCTATCTAACTTTGGGACATAGGTCCCTGAGAATTCGTTGCCCCAGTTTTCCACTTGCGGTGGTGTTGGTGGTGGTTGACTGAACCACTTTGATGGTGGTGGGGGTGGTGTAGATGGTCTTGGAAGTGCAGTCTCCCAGAGTTTTCGCTCCCTTTCCCAGGCATCCCAGTGGCATTTGAAAATATGCTTTCTCAGCCTATTCTCTAAAAGCCTGTGGCTGACATCATAGGGGCAGATAACAAATTTCTCTATACAAAAAAAAAAAAAATTAAATACTACAAAAAAAAATATATATAAGCTTACCCATTTCTGTCGTTAATTAATTTTTATGATATGTACTTGCAGAACACTTATTAATCTGTTCTTTTGTGTGATCTTTAATTTATACACTATATTAATCCCCACCCCTACTTTTTTCCCTCCATTTTTATTACAGTACAGATTTTCTTGAGAACTTTAAAGTTGATGATTCAGTTGCTTTCCTCATGTTTCATTTTTTGCTGACTTGAATTTATTTTTAACGACCACGTTTTCAACTACGACTTGCAAGTTGTAACTTGCAAATTAATTCTCATATAAACAAGAAACTAGTCAACGGGAAATAGTAGTGTTTCTTTTTTTCTGCTGTGGTGAGCAAGTTTCACGACAAAAAATGAAATCACAAGAATCAGTGACGGCTATATGTAAAAACTCTCTTAAGCTAATTCATGAATACATAAGTAAAATCAAAACAATCGAAGAAACTAAACATTTTTTAGTTTATATCAATACCAGTATTAGAATAATTAGAAAAGCACTCAAATGTAAAATCCATCGAGAAAATATGTTGGAAAACGCAAATTCCTTAGAAACAAGTTTGGCGTATTTGAAATTTTATCGCCTAAAGCTTTTAAATAAGAAAAAACAATTATCTATAAAAACTGGTGAAGGCTATATTAAAACAGACAAATTTAAACCGGTGACTAATGTAACATGGCAGGATGTCGAATCCTGTTTTCAACAACGAATTCTTACAGGATTTATAAGTAACCACCACATTAAAGATCCTCTTCAGTTTTTTCAACAATCTTTTAAATGCTTTATGTTTAGAATTAAAAAAGAACGGAAAAACTCAATGCTTAAAGTAAATGTAATTTTTTCCGCAAATTTTATTCAACCGCACTCTGGTGAAACAGACATTAAAACATTTTCAACAAAAAATCAACACATTGATCAATACACAAATTTAAAGGAATGGTACGAAGAAAACGTCATTGATAAAATCATGAAAAAATTAGAGGAATTTGCAGAAAAGGATTCCGGTTGGGCGTTGTATGAAATTTTAGGATTGAAAATTAACATAAATAAATACGACCCAATTAAATTCGGCTATTCAACATTTGTATCCACACCAGATTTTATAAAAAAAAAAACATGCAATAATTAATGTACAAAATAATGACGAATATTGTTTTCTTTGGGCCATAGTTTCGGCTTTATTCCCTACCGATAAACATTCAGACCGAAAATCATCGTATCCTCATTTCAAAAATGTGTTGAAATATTATAATTTAGACTTCCCAATCACAATTAAAGACATTCAAAAATTTGAGGAACTCAACAATCTTGCCATTAATTTATACTGCATCGAGAAGAAAAAAATTTTACCTTGTCGTTTAAGCACTAGATTTTCAAATTCTTATAAAGCAATTAATTTACTTATGCTACCCGCTGAAAGACAAATACAAAATACCAATAACAGTAATGATAACTTTGAAGATCAACAATTGCTCTATCATTTCGTATGGATCAAAAATTTGTCAGCTCTTTTAGCTACGCAACTTTCCCTCCATAAATGTAAATTTCATATATGCGAAAGATGCTTAAACCATTTCACCACAGAGGAATTGCTCCAAAAACATAAAACTTCATGCCAGAGTATTAATAAATATTCCATAAGACTGCCAACAGAAAACGAAGATTACTTGTATTTTCAAAATTATAGACATCAAGAAAAAGTACCTTTTACTATTTATGCAGATCTCGAGAGTATTCTTCTTGATTGTACCAAACAGCATATGTCCACCACGAATAAGACCGAAACTTATCAAAAACATATTGCGCACAGCATTGCTTACTATTTTCACTGCTCATATGATAATTCATTTTCTAAATTTCGTTTGTATCGAGGTAAAAATTGCATTCAATGGTTTGTTCAGGAATTACATCGAATGGCTCATTTTTGCAACGATAAATTTCAGAACATTATTTCTATGGAAACATTAACTACGGAAGAACGTGAGCAGTTTGAATCCTCAAAAATATGTCATATATGTAAAAAAGGATTTTCGGAAAATAACATAAAAGTACGCGATCATAGTCATTTAACTGGAACGTATAGAGGTGCTGCCCATCAAAGTTGTAATTTAAATTATAAAGATATTTGTGTTATACCCGTGGTTTTTCATAATATGAGCGGATATGATGCCCATTTTTTTATTAAAGAACTTTCAAATTCAATAAAAGGTGATATTAAGTTACTTCCCATTAACAAAGAAAGATATATCTCGTTTACTAAATTTGTCGAAGACACGAAAGTTAGTTTACGGTTTATTGATTCTTTCAGATTTATGCCACATAGTTTAGACAAACTTTCCTCCAATTTAGATAATTCTCAGAAAATTATTACGTTGGCAAATTGTAATAATATGGAAGAATTTGATTTGTTAAACAGAAAGGGAGTGTTTCCTTACGATTATATAAATTCCTGGGAGAAACTACTTGAAACAAAATTGCCCGAAAAGGAGGATTTTTGTTACGCGTACCGATTCGGTGAACGACCCACCCCACCCCTGTTAGGGGTGTTATGACCGACCGCTTGGGACCTTGAAGACGAGAACGCATTCATTCACTCGAGAGTTTTGAATTGTAACACTTAGTATTGTAACTTAGGTGCACGGTGGCCAATAAATACATTTTATAATTCTATACGTTTGCTTTACATATACGACGGTCTGCTGTTCGAGCTATACCTAATACTAAACATAATTTGGTCCTTCGAGCCGGATAGCGACTATAAAGCATAAATACCACACATACGCGACCGTGCGCCAGAAAAATACTTGTGAAATACACGTTTGTATCGTTCGGAATATCGATACTCGAGTGAGTCGCAAATACAGCCCCATACAACGCATTCGGGAGACTCCTTATCACCGATTGCAAGAGGAACCGCCGAAGAAGCCGCTATAGAAGCACGTACAGCCGAGTTCTTCGTGAAGTCACGATCCTGAAGATCGAGGCGTCGTCATATCCATATCCAAATACATACCCATCAGGAGCCAGGCGTCGACTGAGGACTCCAAATTCCGGAGTTTAGCGAAACAAGGTCAGACACAATATTCTACTAATTAGCGGTGTCATTTCCTCACACAATGCCCGAAATAACAGAAAATTCGTTTTTAGTGGCTTTTTCAAGTTTGAATGATCAGTACGAATTTGTTTCCGACCCGGAAAATCATTCCAAAATAACTAATCTTAAACGGCGCTTGTTAGATTTAGAAACATTAAAAACACAACTCGTTGAAATCATAGCACATTTCAATGAATCTGGGGTGCATTCATTAGAATTCGAAAGTGACGAGGAAGCGGTCGTTTACCAATTCAAAGATGTAAAAAACAAGATGTACGACACTTTAGCAATGTTTGATAAATTATTAACAGACGCCGGTACGGAACAAGTAGAACCGCGATCGGCATCCGGGCCAGGAAGCGGCCAATTGTTAAATGTAAAATTACCTACAATCGAATTGCCAAAATTTAGCGGTAATTTTATCGATTGGGTGCCGTTTTTCGACACTTTTAAGGGATTAATCCACTTGAACTGCAATTTAACGCCGTCCCAAAAACTGCACTATTTAAAGGCCTGTCTAGACGACGAGCCGAAGCGTACTTTAGATTCGTTAAAAATCAACGATACTAATTACGAAATCGCGTTAGATCTTTTAAAACAAAGATACGAAAATAAAAGGCTAGTCATCAATAATCATGTAAAAAATATTTTTGATTTGGGGCATGTTCAAAAGGGGGATTGTAAATCGCTGCGCAATTTTCTAGACGCGATAAATATTAATTTAAATACGCTTAAGTCCTTAAAACGCCCCGTAGATGCTTGGAGCGATTTGTTGGTGCATGTGATTTCATCCAGGCTAGATTATTTATCCTGTGCAGCCTGGGAGGAGTCATTGAACCCCAACGCGATTCCTACACACGAGGAATTATTGTCATTTTTGGAAAAACGATGCCAGACGCTAGAGTCGATGCAGGTTCACAAACAATTTTTTAGTAAAATAGAAAAATCTTCAACTGCAACTAAAAACTCTCACACTTTAAATCCGGGACTCTCCAAAAAACGTGTGTTCTATACATCTCGATCACAAACGAGTAAAAAATTTACAACTCCGTGTTTCATTTGCAACAAAACGCATGGTATTTTCAGTTGCGAAGATTTTTCGAAGCTAACGCCAAACGAAAGATTTGACCGCATCAAAACGATGAATCGCTGCATAAATTGCTTCAGATCAAATCACTCGACGAAAGACTGCAAGGCAAGCGGCTGTAAAAATTGTGGCAAAAATCATCACACCCTTTTACATTTTGAAAACAACGCTTCAACCAATAATAAAACAAATTTAAATGATGCAGAGGAATTTGACAAACTGTGCCCCAGTACATCGCATTGTAATTTGGCGGTCACATCTAACATCTTGCTTTCCACAGCATTAGTGACTACATCCGGTCCAAATGGCAAACAAATACAATGTCGCGCGTTGCTAGATATAGGGAGTCAATCCCATTTTATCAGTGAACGGTTGTGTGCCTTTTTAAATTTGCCATCGCAAGACATAAACATGTCCATATTAGGAATAAATGGTAAAAGTAACATCAAAAAAGTAACGGATATTCATATTCAAAGCAGAATAACAAAATTTAGAGCAAATTTAAAATGTCTTGTCGTAAAGACGATCACGGAGCCGCTACCAACTCATACCTTCAACATTAAATCTCTCAACATTCCGTCAACCTTAGAGTTAGCAGATCCGTCATTTCATTGTCCAGGTCCCGTAGACTTACTGATAGGTGCAGAATTATTTTTAGATTTATTAATTTCCGGTAAAATTACTCTGGGAAAGAACAAACCAACTCTGCAGAATACGGTTTTTGGGTGGATTCTGGGAGGCGCCCTTGGCAATATAAGCGGTAACACGGCAAATTGTTTCAAAATAAGTTTAGATGAATCCATCGTTAGGTTCTGGGAATTAGAAAGTAGTGGTATCGGCGACCATAAAGAATTTGTAATAAAGTCTCACGGCGACAGTTGCGAAACGCATTTCAAAAATAGTACCGATCGCCTTCAGGACGGCCGGTTCCAAGTACGGTTACCCTTTTGTCAAAATCCGCCGGATTTGGGAAATTCCAAAGATATGGCATTGAACAGGTTTATGGCGGTCGAACGGAAACGGATGCGAGATCGCAAGCTTGACGAGGGGTATAAAGCTTTTATGAAAGAATATTTAGAGCTCGGGCATATGGAAAGAGTACCCAGTGACTCATCCGAAAATTCCTTTTACTTGCCCCATTCGTGTGTAATAAAAGAGACTAGCGCTACTACAAAGTTTAGGGTTGTTTTCGATGGTTCGGCAAAAAGTTCCAACAACAAAAGTTTAAACGACATGCTATTGACTGGCCCAGTCTTACAGCCCGATCTTTTCACTATTATTTTACAATTTAGACGACATCAATACGTAATGACGGCTGATATTTCCAAAATGTATCGATGCGTGATGATGCATCCCGATGATCGCAGGTATCAGAAAGTATTTTGGCGTGATAACCCTCAGTCTCCGATAGAAACGTATCAATTAAACACTGTCACATACGGCTTAAAACCTTCCTCATTTCAAGCAATAAAATGCATTCAACAAATAGGTTTCGAAGAGCGAATCAATTATCCCTTAGCCTACCGAGTAATCAATAATAATTTTTATGTAGATGATGCGCTTTTTGGTAGCGATTCTATTCCGGAATTAATAAGTATCAAAGAACAATTAAAAACGGTTCTCGCAAAGGGACGGTTTTCGTTGAGCAAATGGTCATCGAATTGTCCTGACGCCCTCCAACATGAAAGGGGTAAATCCACTGATTGTTTGATATTAGACAAGAATCATGATAATAAAACTTTGGGTATTAAATGGAATAACGAAGATGACTATTTTTCATTCACAAATTTCAGGTTCAAACTCACAAAAAATACAAAACGATCCGTGATGAGCGCTATATCACAGCTATTCGATCCCTTAGGACTAATAAATCCAGTTGTCACGAAAGCAAAAATCATTATGCAACAAATATGGATTTCAAAAATAAATTGGGACGACGAACTTCCGGAAAATCTGAATAAGGCCTGGAATTCATTCGTCCATGATTTGCTTAATCTAAACAAAATACATTTTCCACGGAGTATTGTCTGTCGCGATCCCATTAAGCTAGAACTACACGGTTTTTGTGACAGCTCTGAAAAGGCCTATGGGGCTGTCATTTTTCTCAAATCTATAGATTATCAGTTGAATGTTCACGTAAGATTAGTATGTGCGAAGTCCCGCGTAGCACCGTTAAAAACAATTTCTTTGCCTAGGCTGGAGCTATGTGGAGCGGTACTATTAGCAAATTTATCCTCAAGGGTTGCGCAAACGTACGATCTGTTGCCTGAACACTGTCATTATTGGACGGATTCAAAAATCGTTTTGGCATGGTTAGCTGCTGACTCATACAACTGGAAGACTTTTGTAGCTAACAGAGTGTCAGAAGTTCAGCGCCTGACCAACGCTCATAATTGGCATTATGTAAAGGGCACAGAAAACCCGGCTGACGTAATAACTCGCGGAACTAATCCCACGGAATTAGGCAAAATTTCGTTGTGGTTCCACGGACCTACGTGGCTCCACCAAGTTAATTTAAATATTGATGCTACCGATACACACGCGGAACTGCATGAAGGCGGGGACATTTTGGAACAACGAGTTATCGCTGCAGTAGCCGTCCAAAATCCAAAATTAGATTTTTTCATTTTACGCGTACATTCAAGGTTTTCGAAGCTAGTGAAAACAGTAGCTTCTTGGAAGCGTGTGATAACAAACTTGAAACACCGAGTCAAACGTGAACCCGAAATCAAAGGCCCATTAACTAACGATGAACTTAAGAATGCGCGACTTCGCGTGTTACAATTGACCCAAGCCGAAGCGTTTGCGAATGAAATACGTTCGTTAAAAAATGACAAAAGCGTCGTTACCAGTAGCATAGCGTCATTGAATCCATTTCTTGATTCCGACAAGTTGATCAGGGTGGGGGGTCGATTGAATAATTCATCTTTGCCATTTGATAGAATATTCCCCGTTCTTTTACCTAAGCACCACGTGACGGAATTAATTATTCAGGAAGCGCATCTGAGACAATTGCATGCCGGTCAATTAGGTACGTTGGCCCAAGTAAGATTACTTTATTGGCCTTTGTCCGGGCGTAATCAGGTACGAAAGGTAATCAGGAACTGTCCAAATTGCTTTAAGGTAAACCCAAAACCGTACCACCAAATAATGGGAAATTTGCCGATGGAAAGAGTGACGTCAGCGCGTCCCTTTTTAAGAGTCGGAGTGGACTTCGGTGGTCCAATAATGATTAAAGAAGGAAGAGGCAGAGGAAAAAAACTCATTAAGTCATATATTTGTTTGTTCATCTGTCTCTCCACGAAGGCAGTACATCTTGAATTGGTAGGCGACTTAACATCCGAGTCGTTTTTCAATGCTTTAAAGCGCTTAATTTCGCGTCGTGGAAACATTAGCTATGTGATCAGCGACAATGCTACAAATTTTACAGGCACCAGAAGCGAACTCGCAAAACTACTTGGTAGTAAGGATTTGCAAAATAAGATAGAACGTGAAAAAATCACGTGGAAATTTATTCCACCTCGCGCTCCTAACTTTGCAGGCCTGTGGGAGGCCGGAATCAAATCAGTAAAAGGCCACATAAAACGTGTCATCGGAGATAATCACTTAACGTATGAGGAAATGTACACCCTACTGGTAGGTGTTGAGGCTGTTCTTAATTCGCGTCCCTTGACTCCTCTATCGAGCGATGCTAACGATCTTTCGGCCCTTACACCTGGACATTTTCTCATCGGTCATCCCTTGACCGCCATCATCGACTTAGACCATACCGGACTACCCTCCAACCGACTATCTCGCTGGCAGCTCGTGGAAGCTTTCAAGCAACATATATGGCGGAGGTGGTCTACCGAATATCTGACAAATCTGCACAATCGCTCCAAATGGAAGAAGCCATCCACTAAAGCCCCTCAAATCGGAACCATGGTCCTGGTGAAGGAGGATAATCTGCCACCTTTACAGTGGCGACTCGGCAGGATAGTGGAAGTACACCCGGGCAGCGACGGACTAGTGCGCGTTGTGACTGTAAAGTGCCGTAATGGACTGTTTAAACGTGCCATTTCGAAAATCTGTGCGTTACCATATGAAGACTATATGTTGTGACTCGCTAGTGGGTTGCAACAATTCCTTTAATTGTTCCAAGGCGGGGGGTTATGTTACGCGTACCGATTCGGTGAACGACCCACCCCACCCCTGTTAGGGGTGTTATGACCGACCGCTTGGGACCTTGAAGACGAGAACGCATTCATTCACTCGAGAGTTTTGAATTGTAACACTTAGTATTGTAACTTAGGTGCACGGTGGCCAATAAATACATTTTATAATTCTATACGTTTGCTTTACATATACGACGGTCTGCTGTTCGAGCTATACCTAATACTAAACAATTTCTATAGTCGCTTATATGATGAAAATATTAAATATGAAGATTATTCCCATGCCACCAATGTATGGAATACTTTTAATATTCATACATTAGGAGAATATTCTGATTTATATTTAAAAACTGATGTGCTTCTTCTAGCCGATGTATTTGAAGCTTTTCGAACTACTTGTTTAAATACTTATCAACTTGATCCGTTGCATTATTATACGGCTCCGGGCCTAACATTTGATGCTATGTTAAAAACAACAGAAATTAAACTAGAACTTTTAACGGATATAGATAAAGTTCTATTTGTAGAAAGAGGTATTAGAGGTGGAGTTTCGCAGTGTTCCAATAGATACGGTAAAGCCAATAACAAATACATGCCAAAAGAAGAATATGATCCTTCGAAAGATAGTACCTATTTAATGTTTTTTGATGTTAACAACCTTTACGGAGCGGCAATGTCTCAACATTTACCGTATGGAGAATTTGAGTTTGTAGAAAATTTCAATATAGCTGATATCTTAGATACTCCAGAAAATTCAGCAATCGGTTATATTATCGAATGCGATTTAGATTATCCAATAGATTTACATGAAATACATAGTGATTTACCATTAGCTCCAGAGCATATGATACCGCCCATTTCAAGATCTAAACTTAAGAAGTTATTGTTGACTTTATATCCCAAGAAAAATTATATTATTCATTATCGGAATTTAAAAATGTATACAAAATTTGGTATGAAAATAAAATGTGTACATCGTGTTATGAAATTCAAACAATCTGCGTGGTTAAAGGAATATATAGATTTAAATACAAAACTTAGGCAGCAAGCAAAGAACGATTTTGAAAAAGATTTTTTTAAATTAATGATTAATGCTATTTATGGTAAATGCATGGAAAATGTAAGAAAACATCGCGATATTCGATTGGTTAGTAAATGGGAGGGAAGATGGGGAGTTCGTTCTCTTATATCTAAACCAAATTTTCACAGTTCTGTTGTATTTGACGATGATTCAGCAATAATCGAAATGAGTAAACTAGAAGTATTTTTGAATAAACCAATTTATGTTGGTTTTTGCATTTTAGATATTTCTAAAACTTTTCTCTATGAATTTCATTATGACTATATTAAGGAAACATTTAAAAATAATGCTAAGTTGCTTTACACCGACACTGACAGCCTAATTTATGAATTTCACGTAGACGATATATACAAATATATTAAGAACGATTCACATCGATTTGATACTTCTGACTATGATTTATATAATATTTATGGTATAGAACTCAAAAATAAGAAAGTACCAGGTTTAATGAAAGATGAAAATAACGGTAAGATTATGCTAGAATTTGTGGGTCTCAGATCTAAAATGTACGCATATAGAATTGCAAGTGATGATTTCAATAAAAAATTAGTTAAGAAATCCAAAGGTAGTACGAAAGCATCACTTAAGACAATAACGTTTGAAAATTACAAAGAATGTTTATTTAATAATCGAAGTTACGAAAAATCACAAAGACTCATCAAGTCCAAACATCATACTGTTTTAGTAAAACAAGAAAAAGTAGTTCTCAGCCCCAATGATGATAAAAGAATTGTCACAAGATTTGCAACGGATACGAAACCTTGGGTATATCATATTTCGCACGTAATTTAAAAAAAGTGGGGATTGTCATATATAAGCAATTAAATTTCCCGGATGATTTATTCGATGTCGGTTATTTTATTATTACAACAATGTCTGACTTGAGACAATTTGTTGATCTACAAGCATTTTGTGCATCCGAAAGTGTGTACAAAACATATCTTAAAGCCGCTGCGACTGATCGAACGAAATTAAATTTATTCCTTCATCTCATTGATAAAAAAGATTTTATTGTACCGGACGAAGTGTTTAAATGGATTGCCGAAAGTGAAAGTGATTTTTATACACTTGACATTTGTATTCTGCTACAAAGAAAGCAATGTGTCGATGGTTACATTGATGGATTTCTACATGTATGCGAAAGAGACCAAATTGAAAATTTAAATTATGCTGCTTTGGAGTTTTTGATGACCACCAACTATTTGGACAATACTCTAACGTATAAATGTTTTATTTATAAATTATTGAGTGATAATCGTTGGCAGAATCTTGGAGATATATTCTATCCTGTTGAGAATATCCGGAAAAATTATCGAAGGATCGACCAGTGCGTGGATGAATTTATGTGTCGGGCTGCGTATTTGGCAAACCATAAAGCGCTCAGTACTTTCTATGAGTCTTTAACAATAATAAATTACGATTCTTTCGCATTTCAACCTTCTCAAAATCCGGAGCACCGAAGAATTTTCAACTGGATCAAAAATAACATTGTCAAAGGAGAAGCCAATCCTGAAATACCATTAGGATGGACTGAGGGACCGGATTCAACAAAATGGCCCTCGATTAAATTAGATGATTATAAGAAAACTTTACATGTAATTTCTGGTAGCCATGAATAAAACACACAGAAATATGTTATATGTAGTTTTATTTACCCCCAAACATAATAATAATACAATAACAGGTTAAATTATTTACAACACTCTGACGACATCTTGTGCAGGGATGTATTTTACCATTCTATCGTGAAGAATAAGACAGTAGGCTGTAGTGTCTGCAGGAATACCAGAGATCGTCTCAAACCACAAAGTGATTGTAACGGGGCCTCTCTTCAAAGCTTCCGTTTGTTTAGAACAGTCGATTACTATTATAGGCGTCTTTTCTTTAAATTCATCCTTATCGAATAATGGTTCGCTGGTTTGTTTGGATAAGAACGATGTCTGGAATTCTTTAAACATACCATAGAGAATTGCATACCGATTATTTGTGAAATCAACATTCAGGTTGTCGTAGGGATACATGGTATCATTAAGGTACAATTTTACATCTCTCAGATTACAATGATCAAACTGACTGTAGTTTTTCTTCAATTGGTTTTTTCTTCCTTGCTGTAATGCAAAAAGTATGTACTGAGGTTTTTCTAAGGAAGTTTTAATAGTCCAAGTATTTGTTATCGATTGTACTGGTGGAGCAAATTCATGTAATTCTTTACTTCTAAACATAATATCCAATTCCCTGTTGCTTCTTACAATATCGATTAATGCGATCCTTTCTGCATCGGACACAGACAAGTGATGCATTTCCCAGCATATTTTACTAAATTCTACTTTAATTTTGTATTTATCATTTGAGGAAATTAAAGCATTCACATCGGTATTAGAACGAACTAAAACAAGCTCCTGTCTTACATTCAAAATGGCCTTTTTAAAATCTTCACAAAAACCAAAAATCATTTTTAATGGAATCGAAACTTCAAAAGTTCCATTTTCCTTAATTATATTCGAATCTTTTTTAGGAAACCATCCAGCATTCTCTAGAGCTACGCTTTCATTACTGTTATACGTTACATATCCTTTCATGGTAGACGCTAACCCAGGATTTCTAATACAATCCACAACGACTCCAGCAATTTCATATCTTATTTGATTAAACATCAGAAGAACGCCATTATTTACAAATTTGATTTCTGGTTTCTGTACAATTTCGTCGATTTCATTCTTCACAATAACTTTACCCTCTATATGCAATTGCAATGTACTCAAATGTGGAAAGGTGTATAAATCTTGATGTTCAATAGGAATTCTTATTTCATCATCGTAGTTAAATGAACTGTTAGAATAAGGTAGGTGTATATGTCTTTCTCCATAATAAATTGAATGATCATAGGCAGCTTATTCGCTTACGTTTAATATTTCAAAATTCATTGCTGACTTATATATTCAATAAAAATATTATTTCAAGACCGTTAATCCTAGAGATTCAAGAAATTTACGATTGCCTAAAGTTAAACGTTTGACCCTTCTCAAAGGACTGACTGATCTCTTTTTCATTGCCCTACTTATATATACCGAATTTCGGTTTTTTAGATTTTCATTAAATATAATACCCATCACGTGACCTTCTTAAGATGCAACCGTACACCTACCTCTTCACCTCTGAAACTAATAATATTACTTTCTTGATCTGTTATTTTAACGATTATTTCATCTATTTGTTTCGTATTAATTGGTAGATATATCACATTTAATGGTCGTTCCACTATTTTGTAACCGGGTGGTACTGTTGGAAAAAATTGATGGATGACGTGAACGGGACTTCCGTTCTTGTATGAACCAGTTACTATATTGCAATAAATGCAAAGAGCATTTACCTTTAAAATTTTTGCTGGAAAATCTGATATATGAGTTTTATGCGCTTTCAGAATGGTATCCTTAAATCCCAATAAATTCCCTAAAAAATTTATATCAAGAGTACATTTAACTTCCGATTTTAAAGTATTATTATTTCCTCTGATTATTAAGCTTGGTGTTAACATTTTAAATTTCTTATTCTATTTCCGTGTTTGTCAATTTCGTATTGAAAATAATGTTCCATATAGTTTTTGATTTCTTTATTTAAATACGACTCAATGTCTTCTATCTCGTAAGAACCCTCGGGAATTTCTAGGTAATGCTCTTTTTTGTCTGGTGTAAAAAAATAAAATTTGTTGTTATTGTTATCGATATTTGGAAAAGAATTCCAAGTAACCAAACTTTCTAATCCTAAAGCATAGTTATAATCTTCCAAGATAATTGGTGGATAGTATCTGCTCGAAAGTACAGAACTGTTTCCATCCAATGAGAATACGTTGGACATCGTGCAACTTACTTCGACGACACTAACAGTTCAACTAAAACGCTCGAATTTCAAACAATTTTATTTATAGCAGTTATATAGGAATCTTAAACACAAATGTCCACAATTAATACTATTAAAAGTCTGTAAAGATTCATAATTATCTATATATATAAAAATGGATGTTGGTATATATATCTGTGATCGATAGACTCCGAAATCGTTTGACCGATCACCATGAAATTTGGGACATGTAAATGGTTTTTCATGGAGAAGGTTTTTGTGGTATCCGCTTTGCTGTAACTAGCCACTAGATGGCGCTACAGCACATTAACTTCTACACCGTTCAACCGATTCTCATAAAAATTGGTACACGTTGGCATTTGACTATGGAGAATATTTTCGCCCTATCCATTTTGCTGTAACTCGCCACTAGATGGTGCTACAACACATCAACTTCTATACCAATCAACCGATCCTCATGAAAATTGATATACGTTGGTATTTGACCATGGAGAATATTTTCGCGTCATCGATTTTGCTGTAACTTGCCACTAGATGGCACTGCAGCACATCAACCTCTCTGTTAAAGTATTATGAACTTAGAGAATCAGCGGCACCCATATATCTAATACTACTATATTGCTATCAGGCCTCAAAAGAGTCCGAAAACACAACGGCAGAGCAATACATCGGACCTCTTTGTCTCTCTATAGTACCAAACAGTACTGCTCATATACTCGTACTTGCTTGATTTTTAGTCGATAACGTGACTAGATGTGTTTTGACATTTCATACGTTCGCTTCTATTTTGTGTACGTGCGCACAGACCCTCGGTACTTTTCTAGACAGAAAACAATATCTTCCGTCTCCCTTTGTCCGTGAACACCGTTTCTATGTTACTTCTGAAGAGTTAGCAAGTATTAGATATATGGCGGCACCAATGACAGCATTGTTTTCGTTGGTATTACAACAAAAATTGTATTGACCGCAAAATAAAATCATTAGTGATGTTCACTGTCTACAATCCTCAGTAATAACAAAGAGTGAATTACTAGAGATTATTGAAAATGCCATCCAAAAAATCAAACTGATTCCGCGCATTCCAATGGTTCGTACTGATTTGCCCTTTACATTCAAACGACTACAGTTTCCTGTGCGTCTTGCTTTCTCGATGGCAATCAACAAAGCCCAAGGGCAGTCTCTGCGCGTTGCCGGATTAAATTTAGGAAATCCATGTTTTTCGCATGGTCAACTGTATGTTACTTGCTCCAGAGTAGGAATTCCAAAAACTTTGTACGTCTATACACCAAATCGAAAAACCAAAAATATTGTTTACCCACTAGCGTTACTAGATGTTAGTATTGATTAAAATGTGTTCAAGTTGTTTCAGTTATAGTGGACCAAAAGCTATAAGGTTATATGGCCATCATAAAATCATCCCATTGTGTCGAAGTTAAGTTGTTTACAATAGAAAAGGTTTTAGGGTCGTAAATAACGTGTCCAATGGAGCTCGACCGGCTGTTGTGGTTTCGTTCAGGGGCGGCTTTCACTAAATATGTAAATCCACCACTCCACTATTTCTTTACTACCTGCAGCCGCTGAGGGTTCCGAAATCACCACTCGCTTTGAAAGCCGGCCCTGTTAAATATGAGCAAGAAATGTTGAGAAGACGATTTATTGCCAACCGGTAAGCTTAGTGCGAACCACACAAAGGGGGTACTTATTTGCGGTCAACTACTTTTATAATGGTCATATAACCTTATACCTGTTGGACTAGCATATATAGCGAATACAATAGTCAAAAATTTTGTTCATTCACGTGAATTACTAATACAAAAATGTGTACATTGTGTATACTAATGAAAATAAATGGAATAGCATCAATATGAGTTATCTTATTATTCAGTTTTCTACAACACATTCTGCGCTCCAGACCATACATTTATATCCACATATATACAAAGTAAATATATACACAAGCAGGACAACGTCTGCCGGGTTCCGCTAGTATACTATATTACAGAAACCGTTGCTTTGTAAATATTTGATCAGTTCAAGAGGTGGTCTCAAATCTCCATAACTATCAAAGTATATAACTTCGTTTCGAGTTTTTTTATAAGCTGTCCAATGTGTTCCAGGACCTTCCTTATTGTCTAAATTTAATATACCACACCCATTAAGGCGTACTTTATTTGGAAGTGAATTTTTCATAAAAACTCCTCTGAAGTGGGGAATTTTCAAACGCTTTACATATTTGTAAATGTCGATGTTGGTGAGAGCATGTTTTGGAATATTTATCGGGAGTTTTTTTGAAATTTTGATGGAGCTAAAAAAAGACCATATCCTCTTTTATATGGTTTCAAATATAATCCACTTCCTGACTTTCCTACAGCTATCGACTCCATTTTCTGATTGTGTCGTTGATTTTCTTTCAACTGTTCTTTAGCTGATTTAGCATCGTTAACAGCTTTTGCTGCTGCGCCACCACCTAGAGATCCCAGAGCGCCTAAAGCGGCAAATATTGGTAGTAGAGGTAAAAATCCACCACTTTTCGGTATGGGTATTATACGTCTGTGACGAATAGGTCTCACTCTCTTTTTTCCTTTTGATGATTTTACTGCTCTCATGGCCACTTTTACAGCATCGTTCATATTCTTAAATTTCTTATTTTTTAAAGCAAGTCTGGCGGATTTTCTTAAAACATTAAAATTCAAGACTTTTCCACGTTTGCTAGTTTGTCTTTTGACTCGACAACCCATACCGAGTTTTATTTTAGCTTTCATGGCAGCCGCAACACCTAAAGCAGCAGCTTTTTCGCCCAAAGAAGCGTCCGAAGAACGTAGTCTAAGTTTCGCTTTATCTAACAGAACTTTATCGGCCTTATGTCGATTTTCCAAATCTTTATGTTCACCATAAGCTATATCGTGAAATTTGCAAGCTTCATCTAATTGATTCCGGCCTTTATCTCCTCTTGCTAATCGTTTTTCTAATTTAGTTCCTGGTCCACAAAAGTTATAACCGGGAATATGAAGTTCAAACGGTAATTTATTAATAAACGAATTTACGATCCCACGTCCACAATGTCTCTTTCTGTAGGTCTCAATACGACGACTGTTCCTTTTTCGCTTCGTAATCTTCATTTATACTCAAACTTTCGGATCAGCTAAAATACTAACGGAAACGTAGAAAAATTTAGTATTTATACCCTCCCACATGTCAGTTTCTTAATCAGATGTCGAAATGCGTTTGACACCTCAAAACCTCAAATTGCCGATAAATAATAACGATATCAAAATTAGCAGTGAGAATAAAAGACATGGGGATCTTTTACCATCTACAGTAAGATGTATTATTGTCGGACCGTCTAACTGCGGAAAGACTAATGTTATGAATGTTATGATAGGTTTAATCGAACATCCAAATGGTTTAAGATTTGAAAATGTCTATGTGTATTCTAAATCTCTTTTCCAACCAAAATATCAATATTTGGAAAATCTTCTAAAACCTATTAAAGGTATAAATTTTGATAGTTTCAGCAATTTCGACAATAACAACATACCACCACCGCACAAAGCTAAAACTAATTCTGTCTTTATTTTTGACGATGTGGCATGTGACAAGCAAAATTTAATGAAAGAATATTTTAGCATGGGACGACACAGAAATATAGATTGTTTTTATTTATGTCAAACCTACACATGTATTCCTAAGCATCTAATAAGAGACAACGCAAATTTTATTATTTTATTTAAGCAAGATAATTTAAACTTGCGCCATATCTATGATGATCATATCGGCACTGATATCTCATTTGATAAATTTAAAGAAATGTGTTCGTTTTGCTGGCAAAACAGTTATGATTTTTTAGTAGTCGATAAAGAGAACGAAATTCGTAGTGGTCGGTTTAGAAGAGGATTTGATAATTTTATTGATCCATTTTCATAATCTCAGTCTATAGAAGTATGTTGAACATTCAACATGCCAGTTCCTGTAAAATATAAATGTCCAAAAATGTGGAGGTGAAACAGATACTCCTAACTTACCATGTATATATTGCTACTATAAAGATCATATAAGAGATCATTACAAAACAAAACATGTGCATCTATACTATTGAATAAAGTATTTTTATAGAATGTTTGTGAAATTTTGCATAGGTATATAAGCCTATCATTCAAATAAATAGATTCAGTTTATTTGTATTTTCGGAAGTCTTAGGAGACATGGATTCGAAAATTTCAGATGTGGTTGATTTAACCTCTTAAGGTCCTGTGTTCCGAATCAGGAACATACCTAACTCAGACCAAAAACAATTAGAAAAGAGCAATCATTCCGCCAGTTCTTTAACTGACCGTTGTTCCTAATATATACCAATGAATAAACATTGATAAGTAACAGCAAACGCCATCTAGAGTGAAACTAGAATAAGTTCAGTCATACCTTTGCAGACGGAGCACGTTGTGTGGTGTTGAGTTATTTGTGATCGTAATTTTTTAATTTTTGGGTAAGTACCGATCAAACTAAAATTATTTAGGCTATTGTTAGACTTTAGAAGATATGCCTGTACCTTCCTAGTTATTGTAAATATACAATTAGTCTGTAGGAGCCCAAAATTCTGTTAGTTCCTCATATGGAACATTGGTCATTTAGATGAAAATTAGATTGTTCCTGAAATGGAACAGTGGACTTTTGGTACATATGAACTAATAGCAATATTGTTGGGTTTTTACAGTAAAAATGGCCTACATACCAAGCGATAGTGAGGACGATAATCTTGGAGACTCAGATGATGAGTTTGTTGTACAAAATTCAAGGGATTCCTCTTCTTCTGACAGTGACGATTCAATTAGTAGTTCCGAATCAGATGAAGATAATCAACCTGTAGATCATGTGGCTACAGCTACGAATGTAAGAGGAAAACCCACATACAAGTGGACTAAACTCAATAATAATGATGAAGAATTGCCATTGCCACCTTTCGTTGCGGAGGAAACCGAGGAGTCCGAAATTGGACGCCCAATTCATTATTATCAGCAATTTTTTTCGAACGAATTGCTTTATCTCATAGTGGAACAAAGCAATTTATATGCTATTCAAAATGACGTAAACAAGCCCCTGAATCTAACACGTTCTGAATTAGAAATTTTTATTGGAACTGTTATATACATGTCAATTTTCCATTTACCGCGACATAGACTTTACTGGAAGTCAGCTTGCAGAGTAGCCCAAGTTGCTGACTGTATGTCCAGAAAGAGATGGGAAGATATAAAAAAGAATTTACATTTCAACAACAACGATGACCTTCCCACGGATAGAAATGATCCAAACCGTGATAAGCTATTCAAGCTTAGACCCATAATAGATGCATTGACAGAAAAATTTAAAAATCAAGTCAAACCACAGATGCTTTGCGTAGATGAACAAATAGTGCCGTACAAAGGAAGATCTGCACTAAAGCAGTATAATCCCAAAAAACCCAACAAATGGGGTTACAAAATATTCGTATTGTGCGATAGCAGTGGTTTGGTTCACAATTTTGAAATTTACACAGGAAAAATATTGCCAACACCGGGAAAGGAGGATATAGGAGCTAGTGGAAATATTGTACTACGCTTGGCATCTGTGATACCACAACACAAAAATTATTTACTCTTCTTCGACAATTGGTTTACCTCTGTAAAGCTGCTTACCTCTCTTCAAGAAGATGGGATTTATAGTTTGGGGACCGTAAGATGCAACAGACTTCCTGGTTTACAATTCAGCAGCGACAACGTTTTGAAAAAAAAAGGTAGAGGCACTTATGAGGAATATAAGACAACAGTCAACAGTGTTGATATTCATACTCTGAAATGGTTCGACAACAAGAGCGTTTTGCGGAAGCCAGCCTGTCGATATTGTTGAACGCTTTGACAGAAAAGGCAAAAGAAGAGTTGAGGTGACCCGTCCCAATATGATAAAGCTATATAATAACTTTATGGGTGGGGTTGACCTTCTTGATGGACTCATATCCTACTACAGGATAAGCCTAAGAAGTCGAAAATGGTATCTCAAACTGTTTTTTCATTTAATCGACTTGGCTCTAGTTAGCGCATGGTTAAAATACAAGACTGATATGCAGAAGAGTAACATGGACAAAAAAGATATTCTAGATTCTTTGGGATTTCGTGCTGAAGTAGCCGAAGCTCTTTGCCGAGTGGGAAAGGATGAAAATACAAGAAAAAGAGGAAGACCAAGCGGAAGTACTGAAAAGAATTATGAAGAGAAAAAGAGAAGGGGAGCAACAAAACCTATACCTCAGTTTGACGTGCGTACAGACAAGGTGGCCCACTTTCCTTCTTATAACAAAGAAAGGCAACGGTGCAAGAGACC